TTTTTTTTTTTTTTTTTTTTTTTTTTTTTTTTTTAAGGACCCTACATAACTTCACCAGACACAGACACAGACACTAATCGTTACTTGATTTTAATCCGTGCGATTAGTTAACCAGGCTAGACCTGAGTTCTCACAAGAAACACCGACCATAATAATAATAATAATAATACCTACATAACTTCACCAGACACAGACACTAATCGTTACTTGATTTTAATCCGTGCGATTAGTTAACCAGGCTAGACCTGAGTTCTCACAAGAAACACCGACCATAATAATAATAATAATAATAATAATACAAAACCATACAACAACGCATTCACGTACCAAGAACTGGAGAGAGCGCTTAACAAATGCAAAGACACGGCCCCAGGAAGCGATGGAATAACCTACAGTATGTTGAAAAACCTAACAATTGAAATAAAGGTAAAACTATTGAGTATATATAATAATATCTGGGAGAAAGGTAACTACCCACAACAATGGAAAGTTACCACAATTATAGCGCTGCCCAAGGAAAATAAAGACCTATCCAACCCTGAAAATTTTAGACCAATTACACTATCTTCTTGTATTGGGAAAATCCTAGAAAGTATGATCAACTACCGGTTAATTTCTGTGTTAGAAAAAGAGAAAAGGATCAGCGACTACCAAGCAGGGTTTAGAAGAGGTTATTCTACTATAGACCATCTAACATATCTAGATGAAATAATAAACAAAGCGTTCACGGAAACACAACACACATTTGTTGTATTCTTCGACTTGCAAAAAGCGTTCGATACAGTATGGAAACATTATATTATGAAAACATTAAAAGCATGGGGACTCAAAGGTAGGCTACCAAGGATAATACAGAGCTTCCTAGAAGAACGTAAATTCCGAGTACGATGGGATACCTCAAGGTTCAGTGTTCAGCACAACCTTATTTCTTATTGCAATTAACGGAATAGCTGATGAAGTTTCTCGAACTAGCAAGACTATGTTATACGTGGATGACTTGGCAATAGCAGTTAATGGTACCGACAATATTAAAATGGAAAACATACTACAGAGGGACATCAATAAAGTAGTATTAGAGGCAGAAAAACGGGGACTTAGGTTCTCTACTCAAAAAACCGTCTGCATGCATTTTTGCAGATTGCGAAGAAGACATGGTGAACCCACGCTAATGCTTAAGAACTGCGCTATACCGGTTGTGTCAGAACATAAATTCCTTGGCCTAGTATTTGACAGGAAGCTTACGTGGAAGTCACATATAGAAAAACTTGTCGGATCATGTAAAACTACACTAAACCGAATTAAAGCCTTATGTAATTATAGATGGGGTGCAGATCAGGACTCGCTGCGTAAACTAATCAATGCATACATTAGGAGTAAACTCGAGTACGGGAGTACTATATACGGTCATGCCGCAAATGCACATACAAGAAAAGTGCAAGTAGTATGGAACCAAGCATTATTATTAGTTACAGGGGCCTACAGAACATCGCCTATCGAAACACTAAACGTAGCCGCGAACTATACACCCTTTCAATTAAGATCAATGGAGAACAATCTAAAGTTTGGTGTGAAACTACTCAATAAAAAAGATCACTCCCTTCGACAAATGTTGGAGAAGCCACAGCTCCTAGATAAATACCAACAAAGGCACACTAAAACAATACCGGCGATAATCAACATTCATAAACTACTTCACAATGAAAACCTAATGGTGGGTATGTGGAAATGTAACACAAGTATGTACGACTGGGAAATCCAACCCGCCATACTAAATTACATTAGAGCGACACACCGTGGAAATATTCAAGAGACTTTTGAAAGATACAAAATAAGGCACATGGAATATAATTTTATATATACGACGATTTGGCATAGTCTAACTAGTGTTTGGTGTGCAAACTACGCTAATGAAGAAGTGAAAAAATGGCAACTACCAAACGAATGCTCAAAACTGACTGCCAGCCTAATAAGTATTCTTAAGGCACTAGAAACTTGTGAAGAGGATGCTAAAGGAAAATATATTATATGCTCTACCTATGAAAGCGGAATAAAACAGCTATCCCAAACTTTACCAACTAACGCACTTGTTCTTGCTATACTAGAAAAGATAACGAACCTGAAAAATAAAGATATTAGAATAAAGATGCTGTACACGCCAATGCAACTAAACACATATGAAATGAAGGCGGTAGAACAACCTATCCAAGCTACTTCAAAGCAAAATAATAAACTAGGAACAATCGAAAAAATATACTTAATAGACGATGTAATAGCTAGTATAAAGCGTAAAATCAAAGCTAAATGGCAAAACCTATGGGAAGATAGCAACAGCCAAATGAAAGAAATAGTTCCAGATGTGACCAACATCCCTAGAAACGAGCACTTGCGTAAAAGAGATAAAATTATTTGGACAAGACTAGCAATTGGACATACGAGAATAACACACTCACACTTATTATTAGGAAGGAATCGTCCTCGGTGCCCACAATGTGGTGAGATATTAAGTGTACGACATGTCCTACAAGAATGTCAAGCTCTGCAAACGTATAGACAGGACTGTGACGTGGGTGGTGGACTCGACGAGTTAGTAAATAAAAGTACGTTTGAAAAAGTAATTAAATACCTAGAGACAATAAACATTGCACGAGAAATCTGACCACCGAAAACAAATCTTGACCATCGCTGCATGGACATTCAATGATCTAAGTTGTCGAAAATGTCCATGTGGGGATACTAATAAGTGGAAAAAAAAAAAAAAAAATAATAATAAAAAAAAATAATAATAATAATAATAATAATAATGTTTATTAGACCATTAGACCATGTAACATGATATTGATCAAGTCAATGACAGAGGTTGTGTAAAATATCACTAAATAATTTAAATAAAATATAACATGCATAATTGTATTACTAACGATACCAAATGTAATTAAGTACACGAATCTGACAAATACTCTTCCACTGAATAGTAACACTGGGACAATAAAAAATGCATTACCTGAAACTTAAATTGTTTATGTCGGGTTTCAGACTTGAGACGTTCTGGGAGTTTGTTAAAAAGTAATGAGCCCATATATCTCGGATTATTTTCTGACATACTTAGTCTATGCGCAGGAATGCAGAAATCCTTACCACGCCGTGTATTGTAACTGTGATTATAGTTATTAACAGAAAACTCCTTTGGATTTTCTTTTACAAACATCAGAATTTCTAGAATATATATAGCAGGAACAGTTAATAGTCCAAGTTGTCTAAATATATTTCTGCATGATGTTCTCTTTTTTACTCCCACTATAGATCTCACTACTTGCTTTTGAATTAGGAAAATCCTATGAGTTAAGTTAGATCTCCCCCAAAATAGAATATCATATTTAATATTTAATTCACAACCATGATACGCGGAACAAGGCGCAATTATTCTTAAGAAGGCTGTTTTGTTTTGGTTAAGTTTTTGTACAATGAAGGTACCAAGAATGAAAGAACCAAAGAATTGGTTGTGGAAATTGAAAAGATTGCAAAAGACTATATTGCTGTGCAAGCTTGCCTTAGGTCACAAAGACTCTTTTGTTTTTCGGAACGTTGAATACAAGAGCAAAATCAAATTGCAACAAGGGCAGTATTTTAACTGCGCCAAAAATACACCGCAGTGTTCATGTCTTTGAAGGTCTGCAGTTACTACTACCATGCGATCAAAAATGAGTTGCTGTCGAGTGACCTTTGGAATTTTTGTTTACATGAGAAATCGTATTTAACTTGAACTTCCAAAGGCGACTCGACAGCAACTCACTTTTGATCGCCCGTTACCTTAGGTACCTATCTACCTAATTATGTTTTCAGAATGTTTTTTCGTTTGTTATCTAATGTTTGAAGTTTATTTTTCTGTTTTTTTTAATTTTGTGGTCCTACAATAATATATTCCATGAATAAAGGCGTTTATTTATATAATATCGGTTTTACTTTAACACCTTCACATGGCATGGGCAAAACATTTTTTTCGTTTAAAAATGTCCGATAAAGGTTTTAAACCGAACCTTACCGTAAAATGGGCTCGAATAACTTACTTTTTCAATTTAAAAAATAAATCGTTCGATATTACCCAAACTCGGGGTTATATCAGACGACCTTTTGTTTAAAAAAAAAGAAAAACCGTGATAAATTTTAGAAGATTTATTTATTTAGATATATTTACTAGATTAACTTCTTACTATAGAATGTCTTAAAAAGCTTTAATTTCGTATAACAAAACAAATACAGGCCGATAATTGAAAATATCGTCCGATATAACCCCAAAAAGACAAACCACAGACAAGATTTTGTGTATTTTATCACGATAGTACGAAAGCGTAGAGCGGACATAGATAAAATATTTTACTAATTTCAAGTTATAACTCTAAATTAAGACTATTTTCGTGTTAGAAGTCGAAATTAAGACTAGCTTATTAATCAATATTTCAATTAATTTCTGTTTGAGGCTCATGACATCTTTTAAAGCGACTTAAGTAGAATAATAACTCAAATTAAGCGGATTTTGTTATATTTCTTTGCGAACCAGGGATAAGTAATACTGCTTGGAACGGGGGGTAAGTCATATTATTCTTTACGTAATTCACTTGCGTTGTGTAAAAGCATTCTTTACTACCCCATATTTAAGAGACGCATAAAAAATGTAGATTATGTAATTAGTTAGCGTTTTTATTGCGATTTTACTATTTTAACTGTCTGTTTTTAGTTTGTTTGTCTGTTATATACTATTATTTTATTATTAATGTTAAATGTAATTTCCCAATTCTTTTGACGAGTGTAAGTGTAATTCACACTTTCTCACAATTAAATGTTATTATTATGGTCGGTGTTTCTCTTGTCAGAACTCATCAGGTCTAGCCTGGCTAACTAATCGTACGGATTAAAATCAAGTAACGATTAATGTATGTGTCTATATGTCGCTCGTCTGGTGTTATGTCGGGTCCTAAAGAAAAAAAAAATTATTGTGTTTGTTTGTTCAGTAGGTTGTTTTTGTGATATTGCTTATCCGTTAGCCACCCTGAGAGACCCCTGGGTGTGAAGAGTACATCCTATTCCACTCCTTTCTGGTCCCTCAAATCATTTGTAGTGATGTTATTAATTATTATAAAATATACTACCTATGTAATAAGCATGAGGTCAAACTCCAATCAAATGTTATGTTAAAATGATGAAAGGTGATTGTCACCTAAGTGAATTAATTCGAATAAAGTATCCAAACTAAGAGGTTTTTTAATTGATACCTTTACCTACAGGTATTACACATTTCTCAAGAGGTGTACAGGTTTAGACTAGGTCCAAATAAGCACATGAGCTGCTGGCTAATGAATTTATGTTTAAGGGCCATTAACAAAAAAAAAAAATATAAGCTATTTTATCCCCAGAATTTTTAGCCCTTGCCTACACACGAAATCCGAATCAGAAATCAAATAGACCCACGTATANCATATATATAAGAGAAGTATATGGATAACCGCCTATGATTGCAATGTGCAAATTGTTCGCCATAAAAGAGAGCTGCCCTATTCCTTAGTCCTGAACTCTGTATTTATGCGCAAACTCCCCAAGTAAATATTTACTTCTCTCCGCCTACTTTTAAGTAGCGCCAATTTCAAATTTCATAACCTATAACTCGAAAATAGGGTTAAAATTTTATTAAACCATTATTGTGTGCAATTACCATATGTAAACACAACCACGCACCATTCGGAAACTTCACCCAGACTTCTATTCGCTTCATGCAGGTTCATATTCACCACATTGGCCCCATTCCACCTGCCGACTCCTATCACTATTGTCTGATCCTGTGATGTCTTTAGATAAGTATACTAGGTGGCCGAGGCCCACCCTCTCAAGACCAATCGCCGCCGAAGCGTTTCTTACCTGTTGACTATATCGCTTCGATTCCCCTACTAGCATCTTCACCGATCAGCGACGATAATTTGAATCTTCCCTTTTTTGTGCCCTCAACATTGTTTTCGGCACACAAGGATTCGGGACCTGCAGTCAATGGCCTACTTGAATGATTTCACTGCCAACTCAAATCAGCGCTCACGTGCCACCCAGTGCGTTCTGGTTCAAGGTACTCCATATCGTTCTGCTTGGAAACTGTAGCATTTTCACATAGAACTTTCGAGCTTCCTCAGCGGAGTTTGTTTACGGTTACACCCTTCAACTTCGAAGGCAAACTTTGTAACGATTTAGAAACTTAAATTGCAATTGAAATAATACACCTATAGGGATTATATCTTGAATATAACATGAAATTGGATAAGTTCGCATCAGCTATAAAGTGATACATTACCAATGTTCAAAGAAACACAATTAAATTAAAGACATTTACTGATTTTAAAATAAAATTAACATTGTCGAGTTGGAAATCTTTTAGGTCTTAAGTGACCCCCATATAACTTCGTGCCGCCATCATGCTTGCGTGCATCCAAATCAATGCAGTCATAGCGGTTAAAATGACGAGAACACAACCTTGTTTTTACATCATCGAATTCCGATAGTTCACATGCTTGTAGTCACCGATTCTTGTTGCTTTTTTCACTTGGGAATCTAATAACAAGTATGGCATAAATGAATTGATTGCAGATAATTGCATTGTAACTTACTTGTGCCATGAAACCGAAGAATCCACTTTCCCACAAGTACCTGCATTTCTTTATTTCTAAGTAATGAACACACTAAAATTGCCAAACATTAGGTATTCCTTTACAATTATTGTGTATCACTTACGTATACTGATTTATATAACTACGAAAGGCTTCTTTACTATTAAAATTAAACAAAAGTTCAATAACTCATAAACAAAACAAACAATTTAACCTCAATCCGTTATGTCAAACTGGAGTAAATGCTTGGTAAATAACACTACATAATAACAGGCAAGCGCATTAGCGCCTAGTTCCCAACTAATGACAGAAGTATATTTCCATCCACTAACGTTGGCGATAGGCGTGTCCACTCGTTTATCCATATACTTCTCTATATATATGGAACGGGTAAGTCATATTATTCTTTACGTAATTCACTTGCGTTGTGTAAAAGCATTCTTTACTACCCCATATTTAAGAGACGCATAAAAAATGTAGATTATGTAATTAGTTAGCGTTTTTATTGCGATTTTACTATTTTAACTGTCTGTTTTTAGTTTGTTTGTCTGTTATATACTATTATTTTATTATTAATGTTAAATGTAATTTCCCAATTCTTTTGACGAGTGTAAGTGTAATTCACACTTTCTCACAATTAAATGTTATTATTATGGTCGGTGTTTCTCTTGTCAGAACTCATCAGGTCTAGCCTGGCTAACTAATCGTACGGATTAAAATCAAGTAACGATTAATGTATGTGTCTATATGTCGCTCGTCTGGTGTTATGTCGGGTCCTAAAGAAAAAAAAAATTATTGTGTTTGTTTGTTCAGTAGGTTGTTTTTGTGATATTGCTTATCCGTTAGCCACCCTGAGAGACCCCTGGGTGTGAAGAGTACATCCTATTCCACTCCTTTCTGGTCCCTCAAATCATTTGTAGTGATGTTATTAATTATTATAAAATATACTACCTATGTAATAAGCATGAGGTCAAACTCCAATCAAATGTTATGTTAAAATGATGAAAGGTGATTG